TGAAGGTGGCCTGGACCGTGGAGAACCGCTCTGGACTGTTCCCTGTGCAGGGCTGGAAGAGGGCCCTGTAATCTGCTGCCACTGTTTTCCTGTGTGTTGCTCAGGTTCTGAGCCACATGGAGAGGTTCGTTAGCTTGGGTGTCAAGTTAGGGGAAAATGGTTATTTTTTTCCTTTGACTATTATATCCCACATAGTGTACTTTGTGAGACTGTGAAGTCAAAGGATGATATCATATACGTATATTCTCTTTTTTAGTAGGACTTAGCAGGAGGTAGAAATTTTAGTTAGGTAATACTTTTGCCAAAATCTCTTTCAGCAGTATTGTTTCATAATCTTTAAAAAAAAACCTTTGTACATTAAACAAGTGAAGTACCTACTTTTTTCTAAGGTTTTATCAGCCTTTTTTGTGAATAGAGTAACATTTGTCTTTTCATAGAAATTCCTTTGATAGGATTTTAGATAATAAGCCAAGGAAAGAAGCTTTTCATCTATAAGTCCCTGTGGCCTTGGTGATGGTGACCCTTTGATAAAAAGATAAGTAGCACAGACCCGGAAACTGATTCAGGTACATTGTTTGGTTGCATACGTTCTGTACCTGCACCCCGAGACAGAAAAGGCCTATCTGAGACTTAGGGGCTGCTGCATCAGGTCATCTTTGAGTCTTACAGTTTTAAAATATGGCCTTTATTTTACTTTATATAGTTCTAAATGCTTAACTGGCAGTTTCGTAGGGAAGTTTATTTTCTCCTTGCGTGGTGACGGATTGTAAGTGGCTGCAGGGAAGCAGGCTTCATAAAGAAGGGAAGCAGGTGGGTAAGGAGAGTTTTAGGAGGGAAATAAGGGCAGGGACGTAGTAAACAGAGTAAGAAAGGTATCAGAGGGTACAAGAAAGACAGGGAAGGAAGGAATTACAGACAGAGAAAGACACAGGACGATAAGGCAGAGTGATGAAACTAAGGCATTAGGAGCCAGCCTGTTGTGGGTTAACGGTGAGTGTCCCCCCAGAGATTTACGGATGGAGGCCTGATCCCCAAGGCAGCAGGGGTCGCAGGTGGGCCCTAGAGGGGTGACGGGGCGGGAGGATGTCCAGTGGACTAACCCACTGGTGGCTTACAGCTGACTGGGCTGGGGCCGAGTCAGAGGACTTGGTCACTGGAGGCGGCTGGGTGTAGGTGAGCAGCACTGCCCTGTGACAGCGGGGACTGCAGCCTCTGACACTGTTAACCGAAATCAATCTTTCCTTCCTTAAGTTATTTATCGCGGGTATTTTTGCCACAGTGATGAAAGGCCAACACAAGCCCTGAAAAGGCAAAGAGGGCATCAGGTAGGAGTGAGCCCTCAATCCGTGTGCAATTTGGGGTTTTATTTTCGTGGGGTGGGAGGGGGAAGGGGGAAGGCAAGGGCACGGGTTGATTTGCATGAAGACAGGATAGTGCTGGTCTTTTCTACATTTTCAATGATGACTTTTGTCATGTTTTTAAACTTAGTTTTCCTTGACAGAAGACATTAAATAAAAGAGGAGCCAGTTCTTTGGTTGGTTTTCTCTGGCTTTTTTATGACTAAAGTAGCACTTGTCCTTAAGCACCTTTGATGGGAATTAAGATAATCAGCCTGTGAAAAGCACAGCGCTTGCTGTGCCTCTCGAAGGGCCGCCTGACCCCTCTTGTCTTGTGAAAAGTTTCTTGGGTGTTCTCTGCCAGCATTTCCTTTCTGAGTTGCCTGCCTCAAGGGGTCTGGTTGTAACGGCTGCCTCTCCTGGAATGGAAACTGGGGTCTGCTGGGATACAGTAGAGGGCCCTGGAACAGTGGGCATTGCAGATAAGGTCACTATTTATTATTTATTTGACAGTATGTAAAATGTTTTATTCTTGTAAAACATAGTACAGGTAATCAGAAAAAAAAGCTCGGTTTTTATGCTTTGTCAGGTGACCTGGCTCTGAAGCGAATGGGGTGACTTTCACCCTCGCTTGGCTCCTGGCTCCGGGAGAGCTGACTGGAGCCCCCTGGGGGTGCCTCTCGTCTCCGGGACCTGGGCTCTAGGCGGTGGTGGCCAACCTGAGGCACACAGGCCACAGTGGACTGTGCATAAGCTTTACAAGTTTCGCAGCACTGATTAGAGATTTTGCCACTGTAGTTTACTTCACTGACAAGTTTGAGAATATGGCCAGAGAGATTTAAATGTGTTCATTGAGTTTATGCTACCTATTTTGAGAAAATATGCCTTTGAGATTCCTTAATTTAAAAATTATGAGAAAAAAATTCACACAGAAGTATGTTATCAAGATTTTGCCTCATTTTCTTAATCTGTCACATTTTTTTTCTTTTTGATTTTTTGTTACTCCTTTATTAGGGATTTTACAGCAAATCTTAGGCCTGTTATTTTACCTCTGTATACTATTACTGTGCACCTTGGAAGAATATAGCTATATCCTTACACAGTCACAGTGCCGTTACCACAACTAACTATGGCTCCCACAGTTCGTTGGTCTCATCTTAATACCCAGTTTAAATGTTTAAAAATTCTTAATTCTGTGAAGAAAAGGCCTGTTTCAGCTGGGTTTGTTAGAATCAGGATTAAACAAGTGCCACACGTGGCACACAGATGGTACCTCCTTTAATCAAGGACAGGTACCACCCATAAACCTTCTGCTGTGGTTTTCTATGCCACCGACTTCTTGCAGAACTGGCCAGTTTTCCTGCAAAACGTCCCCCGTCTAGGTGCATCTGTCTTCCTGTGATGCCCTTATCATGATCCTTATCACCTGACTTTCCGGAAACCGGAAGTGAGCGCTAAAGGCTTGATTAGATCCAGGTTCACCATTTCTGATTGAAAGTGTTGTGTGCTTCCCATTGGGTCACAACAGGGAAAGCCCCCTGCATTTAGTTAACCAAACATAAGAATGTTAGTGAGCCAAGGACCAGTGCCAGGCAGTGAGAGGACTACCAAGCTGCGTAAAGTATAGTCCCAGTGGCCTTGTATTTCTTTTTGGAAGCGGACCGTGACCAGGGTTCTGATAGAAGATTCGTAAAGTGTCGTGGGAGCTGGTGGAATACTCCATATCTAAGGAGGGTTGCCCACGCCTAGGAGATGGTAGCACTCTGAAAAAGGTGACACGGAAATGCAGGACTGCCCCACGCGGTAGTAACCGTGCTCTTTCATTCCGTGCAGTTCTTGGCTGAGTAACTCCTGTCCCCTGACACTGTGGATTGCACTGTTTGAGGTACATGAATGTGACTGTGGGTGCCTTTGAGTGCACGTGGGTCAAAATAGGGCCGGCAGAAGTCCCTGTAACTTCCAAGTCTGTCTAGTGAGGGCCACAGTAGGAGACACAGCTGCGAGCATGCTTGAACTGGGGATCCTCTGGTATCACCTGGCTGTTCTGGGGTCCTCCTACGTGAAACGTGTAACTTTAAGTGTATGGAAACGGGGAAGGCACTCTCAGATGCTAGTGGAAGCCTTAGTGTTTTCCTTTTGAAGGTTGTTATAGAGAAGTTTATACTTTATAAAACTGATTTCAAAACCTGTAAAATAGAGTATTAATATATTACAACTTTTTCTGTCTACACAGTCACAACCTTAGAAATTAGTCTTTCCCATAAAAAGGAGAATTTCAGCCCGAGGATGGTCTCTCCATTGAGGGCTTTGAAACCAGAGATTTATGCAAACAAGGAATTCTTCCATACGGAATTGCAAGTGTGAGCTCAGCCTGGACACCTTAGCAAGACCCTGTCTGAAAATGAAAATTTTTGAGAAGGGTTGGGAATGTGGCTCATCACAGAGACCCCGGGTTCAGTCCTCGGCTAGCTCTGTACGTATACACACGTACCCACATTACCTCTCTCCTCTGTCTTTCTGTTTCTCTCCCCGGGGAGTATCTTGTTCACTGTTGTATTGCAGCATTTATGTAAAATACTGAGTACTCAGCACTCAATAAATGCTTGTTGGCTAAATAAAAGGAGACACCGGACAGTATTGTTTGTTCTCATTTAGAAATTGCAGGTAAACAGTACAGTCACAGTGAAGGATCTTTAGCCTACCTTGGATAAGAAACTTGATTCATTTATGAGAAAAAGGGACGGAAGGAAACTGTGTGCATGCATGTCTGGTATTGGCAAACTGGAGGTTTATCATACTGTTGATTTTTTTTTAAGGAAAAGATTGTATGTTTATTATAAAGAATAGGACTTAGTTTAAAAAACTAAGTATAGTTTTAAAAATTACCATCTGAAATTTGGGATTTTGTTTTTAAAAGGAAAATGACTTTTTTTCTTTAGAAACCATTTTCTATTGTGAATGATAAAAATTTGTTAGGAGACCAAGTTTTGATGTATTTGCTGCCTGAAGGTCAAATCCTTAGGTCAGTATAATTCTGCCCCCTTTTGTGCATGCAGTACAATGTGCTCTTTGACATGGCATTGCCAATTCTCATGATGAAGGTCGGTCACGTGCTCTGAGGCCTTAATAAGAGCAGGCTTTACTCTCTTTCTGTTCCCTGTTTTTAAGTGGCTGTTGGGAGTATAAAGTTCAGGGAGAGGCTGAACAGATGAATGGCTTTTGTATACCTTTGTACTATTTTTCACTGTCTTACACAGAAGTCAGATCGGTTGGGACTTCTTCAAAAGAAAAGTTGCATGCCCTAGAGCCGAGAATCAGCTTTCCAGAGTAGTCCACAGACAACCTTCAGTCTAGCTTGGCTCCTCAGGTTTTCACTGCATTCTTGCTAGTGGAACTTTGTCTGCAAATACCAGCGTGCATGGCTTCTTTACCGCTCAGTGGCGCAGGTCTGTTAGCTAAGGAAGCAGAGTGAGTTGCTCTGTGGGCCTTGGAGCCTGCCTGTCTGGGCTCAGTGCACGGTTCTGTTGATAGGCTGTTTCATAGTGAGGAGTTACTAATTCCTATGTGCCAGAGCTTCCTCATCTGTAAGATGGATTAACAATGCAATGCAAGGCATGAAAAAAATGACTTCCACAAAGAAAACACTTGGTAAACATTAGCAACTGCTGTTCCATGTGGATATATAAATTTAATATTTAAAAGATGTAACAGATACTGAGTACATGAAAGAAGGGGAAAGAGGAGGCTTCTCTCTGATGACAAGAGGATAAGCCTGAGCTGAGTGCCGGCGAAGGTAGCGGGTCATGGGAGGGTTCAGAGATGGCCTTTTCCCAGAGCCGCCGGGAGAGGAGAAGGAAGCTCCCACTGAGACCCTGGGCCTGGCACAGCCCGTGTCCTTTGGGTCCCACTGCCGTCATCTGCTAGTGCTTTGGCCGTCACTCCCAGGATGGTTGAGGTTGTGCTGCGTGCTAGAGCTCCCTATCGCCGCCCGCTTTGCTGCTTTGCAGAAAGCCAGCCAGCTGCAACACAAACTAAACCTTTAAAAATTATAAAGTATGGAATTCGTTTCAGTGATTGGAGGGCCGAGAGAGGGATGGTAACTGTATCTAGTTAAGATTGGCCATGAAGCTAGGTGAGGAATACATGGGTATTTTATAGCACTCCTTTTCTTTTGCATATCTTGTAAACTTTCCAATAGCAAATTTTTTTAAAAAATTGAGCAAAATACAAGTTATATAACAGTATACATAACATGGTACCATCTATATAAAAAAAAGTTTTAAAACATGCAGATCTTTATGCATATGTACACATGTAGTAATAATTAAATCTTAGATAAATAGTAGAAATACTAACTTTAGGATAGTGATTAACTGCCAGGATGATAGATAAGAAATGGAATGAACATAAGGTGTTTTACTTGTGTCTCTAATATTTTATTCCTTTAAAAAGTTATTTGGAGCTTATATTGCAAAATGTTAAGATTTGTTAAAGCTGAGCAGTGGATACCTAGATGTGTGTTATTTTCTGTGTAACTTTTAAAAATATATCACAATAAAGGATAATGGTCTGTAAGAAATCCTGTTAGGCATGTCATTAGCTTAGCTGTAGGAGGTGCTGGCTGTACTGAGGTACTAAGGCACCTTTTCTTTCTGTTGAGGCATTGTACCCAGAGCGTGGGGTGGGGAAATAGCCAGTCACTTGATTCCTAGTGATTCCTGCTACCATTATGTGACAGGGACAGAGCCCTCATGGGTCAGGAGCCAGGGAAGGCCCAGGATTCAAGGGGATGAAATACACCAGAATTTGTGTTTTTGGAACATGCTGAGGTACTATGTAGCCTTTGTCAGAGGGATTAGGCCAGGTCATAGGATGACTTGGTTACAATGACTTGAGTATTTAGAAACAACAAGAAAAAGGAATATTTTTAAAACGCACAGTGTCTGTACATGTTTGCAGTACATAGTATTTACGTTGGGGCCAGAGAAGGAAAAAGAAAGAGAATGAAAAAAAAAATAAAGATGTAGTATGTATGTGTACCAGCTCCCCATGAAGAATGCAAACATTACGTACTACAAATGTGCTAACAAATGTGTTTTAAAACTTCATTTGAAAAAAAAAAAAAAAGAACACAGTGTTTGCCTGTAACAGCTGGGTCCCTAGATAAGACTTTTCAGCGAAGAGAAGGATGTTTCTCTCTGGATTGGCTAGCTGTGTGCTCCTGTGTCAGCCTTCCCCCACCAAAGCGGCAGGATTAGCTGGCTCAGCTGTCAGCCTCCAGGCAGGCCCTCGGTTAGGACAGTGAGAAATCTGTTCTGAGACTGATTGCCAGGCTGCTTTGAAAATGTGACCAGTACCTCTTGCCTGCTCCCTGCTTCTGGGGGGAGAGATCCAGAGACTGAAGCAATCTTGTGCCCAGTCTGTGTGTCTGAGTGTCCTTATAGATGTCGGAGGTCATGCACACATGTGCTGTGCACACCTGAAGTGTTAGTTTAAGCCCACAGGGAGCAGAGATGTGGTATTCACTTGTTGGCTGTCTCATCACTAGACCTGCCAGTGGGATCTGGTGAGAGCTCATTTAGCAAAGGGAAAGCAAAACCCAGCAAGTCTTAAAAGCTCAACATTGTACTAATCAGAACTGGCCTAGGGTTGAGCCTGCATGGACTAGAAGGAAGTCCATGAGGTAGGGTCTGAGTCCCAGGGCCTTGTGGTTTTAGCACCAGTATTTGAAAGCCAGTATCCTGAGTTTTACAGAAAAAGGGACTAGGTCAGCCCAGTCCAGCCCAGCCCTTCATCACCACGCATACTCAGAAGTACCTACCCTCCATCTGGATGAAGGGCTCAGGGCATGGTCCCAGAGCTTGCAAGGATGGGGACTGGAGTGAGCTGATCACCCCACATGACATCTCCTCTTCAATATTTACCAGATAAGAAACCACAGGAAATGGAGCTCTTGCAGACTGATAATTTCATGGTCTCTATTGAAACAGCCTTATTAGCATTCGCTGGAAGAATTTGAGTGATACTTGGGTGGCTCTGTAGCACCTTCTCAGGCAGTCCCATTGAGCCACCTCCCTTTAAATCCTGAGCAGTCTTATAAAGGGATCTGCAGAAGAAGGGGTTTTATGAGTGGTAGGCATGTTCTGCTGCATGGCCTTTGTCTTTTATTATAGTTTATAGTTTTATGTCTTCCTTTAATAATTTGAGATATTGAAGGGAAATGTCTGTTAGTGGCAAGATTACTTTTCTTGTCCTTACTTCCGTGTCTCTTGTCTTGCTGGTTTAACACCATTTGAAAAAATTTTATGTTGAAGTCTGACTTCCATGAATCAGTGGTCTCTTGAGATATGGATGGATCCAGTGACACAGTTGGACACAGAGTTAGAGAGCTGGAATCAAACTAGAAACCAGGCAGACCTTGTCCTAAAGTTGCCTTGTTTGCACTCTGTTAGGGATGTAGAGTGTCTAAATCTGGCCCTTAATCTTCCCTCAGAATAGCAGACAGTAATTGAATGATGTGATTAACCTCTGATCGGTTTCATGGGAACATAGATACCCACCTTGGTTCACGATGAATTCTTTACATGATTCTGGCTGCAAACCAAATTGAGCAAAACAGGAATCAAATTTCTCTATAAGGTCAACATTGAACTTCACCATTAAATTTAATTCGAATCTCATCCAATTCTAGTGACAACCAGAATTGGGAAAAGCCCGAGCATTTCAATTTTCATTTGCTTTATACATCAAATTTTGCTCAGGATTTCATCTGTGAAAAGGATTCTGCTGCTGAATATAAAATTTGAAAAGCGGTGGTATGGACAAGAGCACTCTTTGGGATCAGAGGAAGGGGCCGTAGATCCTGGGCACGCCTTGGCCAGTGTGTGACTGTCCAGCCTGCTTCAGTTTACCAGATACTGCTCACAGCTCTGCAGCAGTGAGTTTGCCCTGAGGGTAACATAAAGGGGCTTACACCTCCGACACTGTAGATTCTATGGAAGTGATATTGAAAATTAACTCCAGCAACAAAGAGCTGTGGTTCCCAGCCTCTTCCCTCTGGCCCAGTGATTTTTCCAGGTGTAAGCATCTGAGGTTTTGCGGGTTTCCCCCCTGTTAGTAGTGGTCATGACAAAGAGGAACAACAGAATCCAGTAGAGCAGTGGCCATTTTTAAAGGCAACTGTTTTTAGATTAGAGGCCCAGGCTTTTTAGAAAAAGTAGGTGGTAATTTCTCTCACCTCAGTTATTCCTGAAGTTCCGCTAATCTTTAGATGGAAGAGGGCTAGAGGAGGCACCGTGTCCAGCCTGATGGTGTCCAGCATGCTCGTTTTCACAGGCCATGATCCTTCCTTATATGCTGGGACATTGGCACCGTCTAGATGGCCATGCTGGGAGGCTGAGCTCACACTGGCTTATAACAGGGGACCTTTCATGGTAGTTGGCCAAGAGGAAAGATAACCTCAGCATCTGCCTTTTCTCTTTGGAGATGCCTGTAGGCCTGTACCGGTTTACTCCTCTGACCTCAAGACTGGGATCCTCCCTTATCCTGCTCCCACAGCTGCATCGGGTGAGGTCAAATCCCGGCTCCTTTCATGTGCAAAACACACCCTCTCCCGAGGAGATAAGAGCTCCATGGGACACTGTACTATTTAAGCAGTTAACTTTTTGATGTTGGGGGAAATTTTTCATCTCCAGGTACATAAAATATGTGATATGATAAATAAAATCTAGATCTCAGTTTGTAGCCAGATATAAGATTGTTTTCTTACTGTAGTCCACTCTCAGTGTTTCCTGGGATGAAACTGGGTGCCACAAGTGATCTCTGGTGTCAGCAGTGGCAGAGGCTCTTCTGAAAGGAACAGGTGGAGCTGGACCTTGACTCAGACAGGTTTGGATTTGCTTCTGGCTGAACCCCTCCCCTATTACCCCCCCCCCCAAATCCAGCTACTGCGGTTACTTGAGCACCTTCCTTTTACATTTAGTTTGAATAATTTAAGTGCAGGCTAGTTTTTCTTGAAAAGTACACACCAATTTTAAGAGGACAAAATTTGGTCGATTAATACATGATAAGTCTGGTCTAATAGCACAAAGCTGTAAATTTTACCTTTTCTAAATATTAATTGAATGCCACCCTGTATTATCAAACTGTGCCAGTCATGCTGAGGTACAAAAAAAAGTAGGAAACTTACTCCTCAGTCCACGAGGGAGAGGCAGCACGGAACAAAAACCCATATACCCGTGAAACAGAGACTGCTCAAAGCAGCAGATCACCCAGGGTAAAATGGTTCTGTTTCTAAAACAGGGCATCACAGCAGTGGTCTGAGTAGGGCAGAGCCAGTCTCACTGGTTTCTAGTGGAAATTTGAAGGAAGAGATGTGTATGTGTGCTCCCAGAAAGAAGAAATGAGGGAACGGTCCTGGAAGGTAACAAGCAGGCTGTGGGTAGTGGACCAGGGGCATTTTTCAGGTGCTGCCAGGCACGGTGCATTTAGGCTGAACTGAAATGGTTAGTCCCAGCCCACTTGGCCACGTGCTTCCTCTTGTGGACCTCTCAGGGTACTGAATGCGTAAAGCTGTTGCACAACTTGGATCACAGATGGTAAACGGCGTACTTGTATGAGTACTAAGTATATACCAAATAAATTCACAGAGGTACGTGCTTCATCACTTACAGATGTCAGCATTTCACGTGGGCTTGTTTTCATCATTTTAAGTTATATGAAGTTTTATCATCCATTATCTAGCATATTTAGGATATTCTATCAGTTTGGAATTTTTGGATCCTTCAAGATTTCATATGTACAGTGGGTACACGTACATAAAATTCGGGTGATGAATCATACTGTATACTGTAATAATGCCTTCTGGGTATCTTCCTTTGTGCTGCTGTGATTGAGAACATCTATGCTGTGTTTTTCTATGAAGTTGATGAATCTTATTAATTCATTTGCTCATTCAGCAGATATGTATTTTGCGCTAGTATTGCTGGGTGCTGTTGTAAGTATCGAGTGACTCATTTTTACTAATTTGAAACTCAATTTTTCAATATGAGATGATCGTTTTAGCTGAGTTTGATTTCCTTAAAATGACTTGCATAAAGTAAAATGGCTTTGAACATAAATTACTGAGTTAATCTAACATATTTCATTATCAATTATAGAACCTCAGCATTCTTATTAATACTATTAGAACATTTCTGTAAGTACTTTAGAAAGCAGTTTAGAAAATTGATGCCTTGAGTTTTAGTGAGTTGGTCTGTTTTTGTTGTGTGTACGGTTCTAAGGGAACCTCAGTTGGAAATCACTGGGTTGGATGAGCTCTGAACTCTCTTCCTATGCTAAAATTCTGTCCCAATTTCTCTGTACTATTTTTCTTCTGTATCAAATAGGATAATAAACTAGACAGTGTTATAATAAGTGCTTGATACAACTTAAAGGTTTACTTCACCTTCCTGTTTTTTAAAGGTGTTTTCTTGCCCATAGTGGGCTTAGCTGCTCCCTTGGTAGGTAGGATGAGGTTGAGGACAGGCGGGTATGTAAGCAACCATTCAAATAAGTTTGTGAGCGATGTCCTCAAGGATGATACGTGTGGTGTCTGTCACACACATGTGCATGCACAGAGTAACAGCCATCAAAATCTTTATAAAGAATGAACTCTAGCTAAAAAAGAAACTCTGTACCTTGAGTGCAAATGCTACTCAGCATATTAAGACTTGGCCACACAGATGGGCTAAGTGAAAAAACATTCCGCATATGTACTGATGTTCTGTATTCTGCATGAAATTTAGGGAGAATTCAAGGACACAAGGCACTTGAAGTATGGAGCCTTACTAATTAAGACTTTGAGAGCAGTACACAACTAAACAATGAATAATACGCTTAAGAAATATACTTAAGAGGGTGAAGCTGCTGCTGATACAGTGTTGATCAAGACAGCATGAAGGGTGTTCATTCATAAAAACAAAGAACTATAGAAACCAAGTAGCAGGGTCTATAGAGGTTGTATCCAAAAGATCAATTACATGATGTTTTTTCTTATCTTGCCTGAATTGTAGAATAAGTTTCTATTACTTTGGTGATCAGGAAAAAATTAAAGACTGAAAGTTCAACAACTCCCTCCAAATTCAAGTCTTGGAAATACCAAAAGATCTTGAAAATTTTAAATAATTTGTGTATGGCAAGAAGATACTGTAATTTAAACTCTTAATTTGCATTGTTTAGGACAAGTAGTATTGCATGGTTTTTGTCCAGCTGAGTCCAGTTTATGATCTTATAAAAGTCCAGTTAGTGGTTCATGAAGCTAATTCATCTCTAACTAATGCTACATTAGTTTTTGTTTCTATTGCAGTTTGTTTCTGGTCTTTGCTTATAAATTGTGTTCATTGTAAGAATCCAGAACAAAAATATGTACAATTGAGTATACCTAAGTTCCTTACCTTTAGAATTTGTATGTCCTCTACTGTGAATCTTAAAACACTAAGTCATAAAATGCAAATAGATCTTCAAATTCTCCTTTGCCTATGTTTTGGGGCCACCTTTTTTGTAATGTATACAGAAAACTTTACTATCAAAAGAGTTTCATTTCATTCCACTTTTTGTGTAATGCTGATGTTCATTTTTAGTTCATTTTTGCAGTTTTAGTTTGTAAATATTAAATCCTTTACCTCTGGCCAGCTCAGCCTTTTTAGACTTACTGTAAATTAAACTGGCTGGAGGAAGAAAGAACAAGGAAGAGCCCAGGGAATGGAAACGGTTAGAGAGACCAGCCAAGTCCCATAGCTTGCCTGCTTGTTTTGAATATTAGGATCCCTTCCGAAATTAGCACTGCCTCTTCAGATACCGAAAATCTGTTCCAGGGGAAAGTGAAGGCAGCGGGATTGCAGGACGCAGGAGAGATCAGCTACTCTTTTACTTGCTTCTTGTTTGTATTCCTGGTTTTGAAATGAAGAGAACCTTTCTACAGCAGTCCAGTGATTTCTTCAGGGTACTCAAATTGTATTCTGACCATACTATAGCAGGGGAGAAGAGACACAAGACTGTTCTGTGTTTTGTGTTGCTTTGCCCTACCCAGCGTGTGGCAGTGGTGCCCTCTAAGTATAAGAGGCACCCCCCGGTGTGGAGCTGCAGATATTTCAGGGATGGAGGCCGGACCCTATATGACAGAGGTCAGCTGTGTCTGCTCCTCAGGTTGTCTCTAAGATGCAATAATTCTCAGGCATCTTTCATAGGTGAAAAGTGTGATGCCATCAAAGTATACCTCCAGGAGCACACTAGCCCGTGGAAGGACTGAATGGTAGTTCATTGTGTGCTGATACGGTAGTATGTTTAGTCAGTTTTCTTTTGCTATGACAAAAACCTGAGGTAATCAATTTAAGAAGAAAGATTAATTTGGGCTCACAGTTTGGGAGAGTTCAGTCCGTGGTTGGTTGATTCCATTGATTTCTTCTAAGATTTCATCTTATTTTCAAAACTCGGCGATCTTTCTGCCTTCACATCCACCTAGAACAGGCAAGGCAGATACCTCTGCAGGGAATTTGTGATGGAACAAAGCAGCTCACCTCAAATCTGGGGCTTGAAAAAGAGGAAGGGACCACAGTTGCTAGTGCAACTTCAAGGGCACACCTCCATGACTAAACACCTCTTTGTAGAACCCACTTCTGAAAAGTCCCTCCACCTCCCAATAGTGTGTTGGCCTGGGGATCAAGCCTTTAACCTGTGGGCCTTTAGGAAGAGCCTGTACTTATTAGTACAGCTCGTAGAATTCTTTTGTCCCATCTTGGGTCCTCTGTTGGCAAAAGCTAGCATGAGACTTAAGGGACAGAATACCACCAGACCTCTGTAGGCTCTGAGTTCTGGTCCCTCTCCTCTCCTGAGTTCCTCATTGCACTGTGCTTGGGGTCAGGCTAGATCTTTGAGCTCTCATCCATGTGCTTTTAGACGGGTTTCTGCAAACTTCAGTTTTGTCATTGGCCAGATAACAAATGTGCCCTTACTGATTTAGGCTTTAAAACAGTTCTTGGGATGTATGCCCTTCAGTATATTAGCTTACTGTTGTCACTGGTGATCCATTGCTGCCATCGTCCTCGGCCTCTGCCCCTGGCACTCCCCGAAGACTACTGTTAGATAAACTCTTGTTGCCAAATCTTGGGGGCTGTCTTCAGTCTCCTTCTTTTTTGTCTGGAGCTCTTTCTTGTTCACTGTCTTTTGCCTAGTTCCTGTCATCTACCTCACTTCATGACTTGGGGGGAACCTTTCAGGTGTTCCTTGTCCCTGTCTCCCTCTGCGTGTGTCCTCCAATCGGGTGACTTTCATTCCTTGATGGCTTGTACTCTGTCTAGGTCTTTCTTAACTTTACAATGCAAGCCTTAGGTCTGCCCAGCCCACCTCACTCTTTGCTTTTGTGGTGCTCGATTGTTTTCCTTGGGAACACTTTTCACACTTTGTAATTACATACATACTTGTTTTAATCATGTCTGTCACTTACGGCTCCTTTTCCCCTGTGAAATTGTGAAATCTGTGAATGGGACACAGAGACTGTGTTTGT